TGGCATTGACTCGTTGATGGGCATCGAGCTGCTTCGCGAGGTCAATTCGGCGTTCCACTGCAAGCTGGACCTGCCAGAGCTGCTAGCAGCCACTACCGTGGGCAATATTGTCACTCTGGTTGCAAGCGCCCTGTCTCAAGGCGCTGTAGAAATCGCGGATGATGACGATCATGACGATGATGATGATCATGATGCCGACGATGATGTGAGTGAGTCGAGCCTAGATGATAGTCGTCCCACCACGTCTACATCCGCCTCGGAGCTAGACAGTGCTACCTCGGGAGTCGATTCCCCTCCTATCAAGGACATACATTCCGAGGAGCAGACGAAGAGAGATGTTACGGCACGCGAGGCTGAGGCCGAGAGGTACGTGGCAGAATACACGGCGGGATGGACGCCTGCACAACCGTCGTATACAGGTGAAGCCATCGCGGGTTCGCATGATGCCGTCATCATCGTCACAGGCGCCACCGGAAGCCTCGGCGCACACGTCGTCGCCGCTCTCGCCTCGAATCCGTCGGTCAAGACGGTTGTCTGCCTCAACCGACACCGTCCCACGCCGGTGGAAACCCGCCAAGATGACGCTTTCTCCAGTCGCGGCATCACACTTACACCGGAAGCCCGGTCCAAGTTGCGCATCCTGGCGACCGACTCGTCCCAGCCGCGGCTGGGTCTCGAGGCATCCGAATACCAGTGGCTCACGCAGCACGGCTCGCACATCGTGCACAGCGCGTGGCCCCTGAGCGGCTCGCGGCCCATGTCCGCCTTTGCACCGCAGTTCCAGGTCATGCGGAACCTGCTTGACCTCGCTCGTGATATGGCCGTCCACCGTCGGGTCGGGTTCCAGATGGTCAGCTCCCTTAGTGTCGTTGGACATGCGAAGGAGCGACTCGTGCCGGAGGATCGTGTCCACATGGACTCTGTCCTGCCCCCGGGGTATGGCGAGGCCAAATGGGTGTGCGAGCGGATGCTCGACGAGACGCTACATAAGCACCCTGCGCTGTTCCGAGCCATGGCCGTTCGGCCCGCACAGATTGCAGGTTCTGCTACGAGCGGGGTCTGGAACTCAGTCGAGCAGATTCCCTTCATCGTCAAGTCGGCGCAGTCGCTGGGCGCCTGGCCCAACTTCCGCGGCACCGTGCGGTGGATCCCTGTCGATGCCGTAGCGGCGATCCTTGTCGATTTGTTATACATCGGGGACGACAAGACGGCGCCGGACCCGTGGCCCATCTATCACATTGACGACCCAGTCGGCCGGCCGTGGGAAGAGATATCGTCCGTCCTGGCTGACGCGCTAGACATTCCGGCGGGTCAGTTGATGCCGTTCAAAGAGTGGCTCGACATGGTTGCCCGCTCGTCCAAGACGGAGACAGAGAACCCAGCCGGGAGATTGGTGGACTTTCTGGAACAGAATTTTGAGCGGTTGTCCTGTGGTGGGCTGGTTCTGGACACGACGAAGGCGCAGGAGCATTCTGCTGCTATGCGGGCGTTGGCGCCGGTGAGCGCCGAAGTAGCCAGGGGCTACATCAGGGCTTGGAAGGAGATGGGATTCCTCGCCTCGTGAAGAGCGGTCGTATAAACGAGTATGGTTGCACAGCTGGCTTGATTCTCTTTCAGCTAGTTGGAAAAAGTTTGTAACGTAGGTTTATATATATATATATATATATATATGCCGGTTGGAGTTTGAAGAGGGTTTACTAGATTTGTCTGGAAAGGAAGGGTATCTCTAAGCATGTACTCCGTATAGAAGCTATAGAAACCACAGAAACCCAGCTGCATTTGGTGCTCAGGCTTGCTTGCTTCTAGTAGGAACTAACTAGGAGCTAGGCTCAAAAACCTGGGAGTAGAATCAGAGTCAAGTCAGCAGTATCAAGTTCCAGATCAGAGAGTCAGAAGAGTATCAAGTTGAGTTATATCAGAAGGAAAAAGAAAAAAAAATAACCAAATCCAGGTTCAGCATCAAGCCAGATTGGGAGAAATCTGCTTATATAAAATTTCCGATCACCCAACAAACTGCAATTCTGATATGGCTCCTCAGTTCCTTCTGAGGATATCATCGTAGCTTCATTAGGAACAGGAGGACATCTGCATGTAAACATATCTTAGCTCTCTGCTCCCCTGATTCTAAACAGCCCGAGCAAAAAAAAAAAAAAAAAAAGAACAATAACAAGCAAACCTGTAGTTGATCATCACTTCCAAACTATTTTGTACTCTGTATTGTATGTATGTAATTGTATGTACTAAGTATCAATACTAACTAATCCTAAAAGGGCAAGTCGAAGGAGATTTTGTCGGATTTAAGTTATTCCGTAGAAATTATGACAAATCTCTCACGTGAAACCCGCCAAAAAAACGACCTCAAATCATCGCCGTATATTCGGCGAGTCGCGATGGGACATATTCGAGGCTTTAGTGGTTAGAAGGGGGGGGTTTGTCCCGATGATAGTTGTCTCCACTCCAGTGTCTGATTTTCTCCCAGACCATGCAGCAACAGGAGATGTTTGCGGGATTCCTCCGTTCGAGGCGGGTCTCTTGGATCAAGTGCCCTAGAGTGGAATGCAGAATTGGGGGGGGGGGGGCAGGACTCAGGAGAGGAGTTCATGTTGATGATCATCGGGAAATTATAAATACAGCTTCGACGGTAGCCCTTCTGCATGGCTGTGTTCCAGGAGGGCATCAGTTTTTCTCTTCTTGTACAAGATTCGAGTCGATTCCCTAGAAATGCATGGCCCACTCCCATCTGATCTTCCCAGGTCCCGCGAAGGGTATCAGTGGACTCCTCATGGTGGTGGTGGTGTCCAGCAAGGCCTTCCGACCCTTGCTGCGATTCGACCTGAGACGAACGTCGGTTCGCCCCGTCAAGTCTACGATGTCATCGTTGTCGGTGCTGGATACGCCGGTCTCACGGCTGCTCGCAATGCCGCCAGAGAAGGCCTGAATATTCTCCTCCTTGAAGCTCGCGATCGCATCGGTGGTCGCTCCTGGTCCTCCAATATCGATGGATATGCCTTTGAGCTGGGTGGAACCTGGATCCACTGGGCCCAGCCGCATACCTTTCGAGAAGTATACCACTACAACATGAAGGATGAACTCGAGATCTCCCAGGATTATACCAGGGGTGTTAATCATTTCCAACTCATCACTGCCGATGGAGTGAGGACCATGAGCCACCTCGCTGAGGTCCGCATTCGAACCTATCTGTCTACGCAAGCTTTACGCTGACTTGACTCCCCGTTTTTTTAGGATCAACTTTTGGAGAGTGCAGTTAAGAAGTTTGTCGACGTCGACGGCAATCTGGGTCGCACTGTGATGCCTTTCCCTCACACTCCGACTTATAACCCCGACATTGCGAAATGGGACAAACTTTCCATGGCGGACCGTATCGAGCAAATCAAAGACGACCTTACACCGGCTGAGAAAGCTGCACTGGAAGGATTTGTTTTGCTTTGCAGCGGTGGCACCGCCGAAAACACCGGATTTTATGATATTCTTCGCTGGTGGGCCCTCGGATTCTATACTTACCAGGGCGTTATCGACACATGTTCGACATTCAAATTTCACTGCGGCCAATCAGGATTTGCGAGACGGTTCTTTGACGAGGCTGTTGCCTCCAAGAAGGTCTCGTACATCTTTGGCTGCCCCATTACTTCCGTAAAGGATGACGGCAAAACCGTGCAGGTAACCGTGCGGAATGGTGACAAGTTCATCGCTTCAAGACTTATCTGCACGATCCCTGTCAACGTTCTCGGGACCATCAAATTTGATCCTCCCTTGCCAGAAGCCAAGCAACAAGCAATCCAGGCTGGCCAGATCAACCAGTGCTCTAAAGTGCATGCTGAGGTTAGCGATCGGGACCTTCGCTCGTGGAGCGCCATCGCGCCCTACGGCAAGCTAGTTAATGCCTTTGGAGACGGCACGACCCCTGCGGGCAATACACACATCGTCGCCTTTGGCGCAGATTTGAACCCACTTCACCCTGAAGACGATGTTGGGGCCACTAAAGCAGCATTCGATCACTTGGCATCTATGGACATCCAACGGCTCGTTTTTCACAACTGGGCTCGCGATGATTATTCCCGTGGAGCTTGGTGCATGTTCGCGCCCTGTGTTGGAACCACGTTCTTGGAGACTCTTCGTGAGCGACATGGTAACGTTCTTTTTGCAAACTCCGATTGGGCTACTGGATGGCGTGGATTCATCGATGGAGCCATCGAGGAGGGAGCTCGGGCTGCCCAGATGGTGCAGCAGGAGCTTGTCACTCCCTCACAGACGCAAACCAGGTTGTAGCGAAGATATGCCATCGGATTTTCCCCTTTAGGATCGTCCTTGATCCAAGTATGTATGGAGTATGCTGCAGCAATTCAGATAGCAATATGATTACAAAAATCCCATTCGTTTAGAGAAACCCTCACCTCGAGCGTTGAGCAATTGAGTTGAGATTGAAGTTTAAAGTTAGCGCGTATAACTAGTTAAGTAGATCCCGAAGCCTGGATCTGGAATTCTTAGAATCCGGGGTTCAGTTAACGTTGTCTCTTCCGTCTCGCAGCCGAAATCCCCTGCGAGTCTACTGCTATGCCTCAGGTGATCCGTTATAAGTTCTATTGATCTATAGAATAGTTTGTAACTGGTTATTGTGCAGCAACGGGCAAGACCTTTGAATATTTATCTCAGACGGTCACCATCTTCCGTCACTGCGCCCTAGCAACTCGGGCGGGGTAACTAACAGCAATAACCCACAGAGGCTCTACTCGCCAAATAATGCTTTGTTTTCTCTCTCTCTCTCTCTCTCTATATATATATATATATATATATATATATATGTGTGTGTCTCTGCTTCACCGGAACCTAACCCTCTTAGCCTAGTCATACTTTTCAGGCGCGAAAATATGCAATATGCTAGCGTAGGAAGCATATCACACACCACCTCTAGAACCGAGCATTCCACTTAAGATTATTATCGCCGACCTGCGAGGTATATCACTTAAATCCGCCCTCCAATAATGGGGAAACGCAAAGGTCAGTGCTAGCTTCTGGTCCAAACACGGTTTTGTGCAAATTGCTGATTGCGGACTTAGGCTGTTTCGATTGCTCCCGGCGTCGCATCATATGCGACATGACAGAGCCACACTGTGTAAAGTGCGCAAAGAGAGGGATCGTCTGCTCCGGTATGGGAATTCGATATCGCTTTAGTCCAGGAATTGCGTCGCGAGGGAGGTTCAAGGATCGACAGATACCCGTTTTAGATACCAGCGAGGCGCGTGGCTCTGGAAATCGGAAAGCATTATCAAGACGGAGCGGATCCGTTTCGCTGGTGAATCCGAATTTTGTCCAAAAGACAACTCGTTCTCCGTCAACAGTCCAGGCGAGATTCGCATCGATAGGCCCGGTGGACCATAATGTTGCCTGCCACGAGAATGATGACGAGAGGTTAATGTATCTTCAGCGGCTACTACCGGAAATCCAGATTCTAGACGGGAGGACACACATGCTCTTTAATCACTGTAATTTCGTCGATGTCGCTGCTCAAGGCAGCATCAAGACCGTGTGCGCGTGTAAAATTGACATTTTCTCATAGTTTCGGCTTTCGTCGCTTCTGCCCTGGTTCCACTCGACAGCAAATTCAACGGTTATCGGCGTATCCTCCTCCCATTAGCACACCAAGATCTAGAGGTTAGGAGGGCGGTTTGCCTCGTCTCTGCGTTGCATCTCAGTTCAAAAGTTCCAGAATTACGGGAAGCAGCGAATGCAGCAAGGTTAGCATCGATCTTTGGCCTTAAACGATTTGTCCGTGAGCATGATCGGAGTGAAGTTCTGAGCGTCTCAAATTGGGCTGTTATTATTTTACTACTAGCTGGGGAGATGATACGAGGAGGTTCTGATTTTAGCTATCTCCTGAAAATGCTGATGTCCTTGGTTGAGGCGAGAGGACCGCATGACGCGGACTCAGACGTGCACTCGTTCTTGATACACGAAACAAAGATGTATGTCTTCGCCATTGGACTTCTAGGTGTAAATGCTGGTTTTAATGGCTCACCAGGATTGAACTGTTTGGTCGACCGTTTCTCGGAGAATCCGAAGGCATCCAGGCACTCAGCAGGGGGGTTGAATCCTACCGCGACTTCATTTCCCACGCCACCCGGTATGACGGGACTTGCTCGCATCAAATTAGCGTTTCATTACTTATCGCCGCTGTATCCTTTGCAACCGACATCTACCTCCGACGCGCACTCAGTCAGCCTGCTTTCCCAAGCTCGACTTACGACTGGGCATCCCATTACCATTACCCTTCTTCTACGCTTCCATCCTCTCCGTCCATAAGTCTACAGCATCTTATAAGCCTAGTGTCTGGAATCTACGCTCACACGCCCGGTTCTCATTCACTCGTATGGGTGTATTTCATCGGTGCAGCTGAGAGTAGCACTGAAGAAGATCGGAATTTCTTTACGACAAAGCTGGAAGAATTGTACAGGACTATCGGATTTGAGAATATTATGATTGGCCTAGGCAATTTGAAGGAGCTGTGGGCCAGCGGCGAGAGACAGGGGAAAGGAGGTGAGAGAATAAGGTGGACGGAAAGACTGCCACGGGTAGAGTCGTTGGTTATGTAAATGGGGCACGGCTATAAACTCTAGGGAAATGACCAGCGTAGTGATGATGAGGTCGACGCATAATAGACATAACTACATGTGTGTTGCCAAGAGCAGCTTCTTCCTTGCTAGTTAGCTATTTAACTAACTGTACGGAGTACATCCCCCTAACCGGAGAAATTTCCAATCCCTGCGCCTACTTATCTTCAACTTCCCTCACCTCAAAGCTGAACATGCCATTTGACTTAACACTATTTTCATCCATCAACTTGCTAGCACCTTCTGCTCCTGTAACCGGCACTCTATACTCAAACCTCTTCCCTTCCGCGGGACGCTTGTCGTTTGGTAAAGAATAGGGGAATGGCAAGTACTCAGGTAGCAAATTTAGTTGGCGTAAGAGACAGGCCTGGTCCCACCAGATATGTTCGTGATATAGCCTATCGCCACGGATATTTACCACGGAGATCATGGGAAGACGGACGACCTGGCCAGTTGGTGGGAGGCCTGGGGCACTACGAAAAAAGAATTAGCCCGCGACGACCAAGGTGCGGTCCCAAGTAGTTAGCATTGAGAAGGCCACAAAGAGAAATAACTAATGGAAAGAAAGAAAGTGCATTACAGCCAATCAATCTGTTCATCATGGGTGAAACAGAAAATGAATTCATCAATGACGCGGTCAATCCCCACTGTACGGCTGACCAGTTCAAGCCTCGTATCTTTTGGGTTGTTCCAGATGAAATGATAACGGTAGAACTTCGAAAGGCGGTCGCGGCCAATTCCACCGGTCATCTAACATCTACCGTTAGTTCAAATGGCTCTCCATAACACCAATTCAGAGCACTCGCCGTCGGAATATGATTGACATATGGCTCTTGGACCATAGTCCCCATTGTCTTAGCAACGGATCGATCCCCGAATTCAAAATACGTATGTTCGTCCCATATAGCTTCAAGATCAAAAAGAGGGCCTCCAAGTTTTGATTTTAAGAATGTCAGCGAGCGAGTATGTGCGACCGCCGCTGAAGAAGGGAGAAAATCCTTGTGCTTGGGAATGACAAATTGCGGCGAGTTGGTCTCGGGATACTCGTGGACTTTCACATTTGCGTCCAGCCCCAGGATTTGCTGCGCATCCTTCTTGGGAAAATGGACAAGCTGTGGATATCTAGTCAAAATGGGAGAGCCATATGTGACTATGCCACCAACTGGCAGGATATCTTGAGCCAAGCTGAAAATCAAAACCTCATCGGAAGTTAAGAGGCCGGAATCATATACTATGCTTGAGTCAGTTCAGCCTGGAATTCAACCCGGTGGGTTGGGGGGAAGCAACAAGAGTAAAAGGCATAGTTATTGGTACGTACATATTAATCCAAAGGTATTATTGACATCGCACTCCTTCAAGGCTATCAGTTGGTCGACTGCCACCTTGACCGCGTTGCTGAGAACCGATCCATCACGCTGAGTGGGCAGCTTAATTTCAACCACTGCATACCCCTCTTCCGCCCATTTCTGTCGTGGTGGCGGGTCCAATGTTTCTTCGCTATCATTGAGCTCTAGGCATTCGGAAGTGATGATGATTATTCCGGGGCCATTGCCACGGCGGGAGAGCGGGGGTTGTAGCGTGATGTTTGGGCTAATATCTCTTGGTGCTGCAGAGGGCAGCGGGACGGGCTCTTCATCGATGTCCATGACAGAGGGTTTCGAGAGGGGCTTGAAGCTGCTATTGAGATGCCGGACAGCACGCGGAATTCCTCTCGCGTTTGCGACTTGGGGCAGAAGTCCCGCTCAGCGATGCCGCCTGCGGGGGCCGCGGATATCGGCGCTGGAAGTTGGCGGCCCGCTCGCCGGCCCGCAGCACTACCTGCTAGCTCTGGGCGTGATCATGTGATTGCACAGGGGGGGGTTCGACGCCGCGAACTCATTGCCAGCTGGGCGAAACAGGGGGAAAGGAGCGTGTGCGGATGTATGCGTGTTGATGTATCAAACTTGGGGCTGACGGGTCAGTCGACTTCAGCCGGCTGGTCAGAAGCCCTATACAACACAACCCAACATATCATTGCGAATATCGTCTGGATAACTCTTCATTGCATTGATATTGCGGACTATAATGTATTATGATCTACAGTGAATTTTGCAGTCCTTGCATGCTGGGGCTCTGTCACTAACAACATCTGTAGATGGTCAACTAATTACGGAGCACATTGCTGAGAAAACAAAGATTCCAACTCCTCAGCTACCCGATCAATACTATAATATTTTCCCCCTACCTTTTTATGTTACTGCAATACTCCGTACATCGAGGGCAAAATTCTTTGCATAGCGCAAAAGAAGTACCTTTACAATGAGTGGAGCTTTATCTGCCTTGTGCTCTTTCAGCAACAGCTTGACCGGATTGTAGCTCTTGGCTTTGATGATAATTGTGGCTGGATAGTTGCGAAGCAATGCCAATTATCATCTATCCTATGATATCCTGATATTTTTTAAACTTAATGCTCATTAACGCCTGCTAGCGCATTAGACCACTACTTCTACTGTATATGATGGTTATATGCTTTTTAAGCATTATTAAAAACTTACACTTGTTGCCCGTGGGATAGTATTTGGAATAAGAGCAAATATAGATGCTATCTTTATTCCTTTTATGCTGCCCAGGATGAACTGGATTGTGTTAGAACAGAAATACAACCGTGGCACATCTTTTCTCAGGCATGCAGTCATGCAATCTCATGGATGGCGATACGAATGGTGCCATACCGCGCTCTCTTCTTGAGACCTTCGAGATTAGACGAGAAAGGAATCCGGAGTGTCGCCGAAAATGAGCCAGCATTGCCGAATCAGTAGGTTGACCTCAACTTTCTGTGTAACGCGAGACTGCTAACTCCCCAACTCGATTTATGCCCCGTACGGTAGGTTATCGATCACCTAACAGAAGGTCGATGAGGTTCATATATCGGGAGAGTCAGCCAACTACCACAAGATCCTCTTCGTCTCTTCGTGTGAGTTGCGTAAAATGGATAGCTGCGCTCGATTTCGGTTCTTTTTTTTAATGATATTTTCGGGCTTCTGTTTTTACATGTTTTAGCATTGTGCGCCTACAACAATCTCGGTTGACGGAGAAGTTAACATTCTCTTCTCCGTGAGCAGCCGCGACAGGATCGGGGCGATGTCATGACAACAGCCTGGCTGTTCCGCACGGGGGTAGCGTAAAGCAGCCAGCTTTCCGAGAAACCATCCCATCTCCACAGCAAAGGTTTTCATCTTTTTCCTCCGGTGTGCTCCGGAGAGAGCACAGCTTAAGAGAGCAGAAAAGATACACCGCGCATTGGGGATCCGTGGTTCATGGAGGATCATTTCATTGCTACAACCTCAATCGGCCTTCTTTGAGACAAAACACTCCAAAAAAAGAAAAAGAAAGGAAAAGAAAGAAAGAGATGTAGGATGCAATGAGAAAAAAACATTGTTTGGATGGGAAGTTATCTTGTAGACTCAGCCATCACAACCCCACCTGCATCAATGACCTTTTTTTTTTTTTTTTTTGGTTCTGGCTCTTCTAGCTTTCTACCAGGATTTGCTGGGTTATGGTTAGTTTGATTGAAGCTGGCTCTCCCGGCATTTGGAGAGACGCGTGTGGGTGCAAACTGTGGAATGGTCTATGTACCCAGATGTCAGAGTGAGACTTTCACCACCTCATTGACTGTTTGAACCACATTGTTCAGCTTGTTTGCTTCAGGAACACAAAAGTTTAACTCACAACAAAGTTTTTGGCTTCTTAGGGAAAAAAAAAAAAAAAAAAAAAAACAAAAAAAAACAAAAAAGGCCTCAAGCACCCCATGAGATTACCTGAAAAGGGAATCCCCCCGCTTCTTTCCGATTTGAACCTGGTTCTAGACTCGAACAGGAAGCTTCTCCCTAAAAAGGGTTAGCTTGCATTTCCTGAATAGACCTAGTGCCATCTCTTGAGGAATGTTTCTCCACTTTAGGGCGGCCTGCAGAGAGTCTGATTGGACAGCTGTCAATACCCGCGCGACACAGCCTCTTTCCGGACTAGCGCGCTTCCTTTCGTCTTTGGAAGATTCCCGCGCTTCTCAACTGGGAAATTGAGACGTCACGTCAAAACCAAACCAACAGGCTGAAAGGGAAAGAATGTTCGCCTGCAAGGCCGGCTTGACTTTTGGCCTCAGAGCTCTCTCTCGAGGATCAAACATAAGCTTGAGGTGCCATCAAAGGTTCCAAAGTGAGATGATTTGATAACAAAAAAAAAAAAAAAAAAAAAAAAAAAAGGATAAATAATCTAGCTGGTGAAATATCTCGCTGGTTGGTTGTGCCACTGGCTTGGATTGAAACATCTGCTCTTACAACTGCTGAGTGGGCGCGTTATTTTTTTTTCCCCATACCCCGTCCATCGAGCGGCAGACTGGCTCAGACACTGCGCAGAAATCTAACAGGACGGAGCTGCGAGAATTGATACGCAATTCTATCTGTTGAAGAAGCTGAAGCCAAAAGTCTTATCTCCTCTTAGGGCTGAGACCCTGAACCAGTGGCCTCGAGCATCCCGTTCCAACATATGCACTATGGCCAGCAGCTCGCTGTTTCCATCTTCTTCTACACCTTCGGAGTTTGTGGAGCTCTCTTCCATCGAACAAGGGTGGTGCTGGAGCTCCAACCGCGCATATCTTCCATCGCACCCCGACTTGGGGAATCGAATACCGCGCACCGGCTAGCGACAAGCTGTTCTAGACTCTTGGAGGCTGGACAATACAGTTAGCAGTTTGAGCAAGCCAACGATGTGGATCCTTGCTTTTGCCAAATAGCTCCCTGACTTAGAGATTGCCTACGTGCGTGAGACAGTGGGAGGCACGGATATGGCAGATTCGATTCGAACGTAGCGGAAGCAGAATCTTGGCATGTCATATTTAAATCCAGCTGTTCTGCCCCCCAGAGAGTCTTGAGCTTCAACGTCAAGGTCAATCCTCTCAAGTCTGAGAGCCTTCCTCCGGACGGGAAGTTGATAATACCGAAATTTGACAATCATGCATCTCAAAAATCTCGTCATCGCGCTCGCCGCAACTTTCGCCGCGTCCGCATACGCTGCGCCGCTGGGAGGGCTCGATTCTCTGTTTGAGGGACTGGAGCGAGAATTGGAGACAGGATTTTCGGGTTTCGAGCGTGAACTTGAGGGTTCCGGGCATGACCCGCAATGCAGCAAAGCATGCTATTCTCACCGCCCTGAGTGCCCACGTGGCTGGGTATGATTGCTTTCTGCTGTTGATTTTACTTAGACCAAGATGTGGTAGCTAACACTTTTTTGTAAAACAGTGGCCAGATTTGCGGGTATTTCCCTCTTCACAAAAACAAAGGCTTCCAATTACCCCTGGATACTCTGAGGGGAAAATATCTAGATATAGCAACTGACACAGTTATTGTGTAGGGCCGTTGCTACGCTTGCTGCACACATTCAAAGCCGAAGAATCCGAATCCTCAGCCAAACCCCTATGATCCCCATCAGCCGAAGCGAAAGCCAAAGCCAGAGCCAAAGCCAGAGCCTTATGATCCCTATTGGCCAAAGCCAAACCCCTATGATCCCCATCAGCCGAAGCGAAAGCCAAAGCCAGAGCCAAAGCCAGAGCCTTATGATCCCTATTGGCCAAAGCCAAACCCCTATGATCCCCATCAGCCGAAGCGAAAGCCAAAGCCAGAGCCAAAGCCAGAGCCTTATGATCCCTATTGGCCAAAGCCAAACCCCTATGATCCCCATCAGCCGAAGCGAAAGCCAAAGCCAGAGCCAAAGCCAGAGCCTTATGATCCCTATTGGCCAAAGCCAAAGCCTTATGATCCCTTCCGGCCTGAGTCAAAGCCTTTTGATCCCTTCCGGCCAAAGCCAAAGCCTTATGATCCCTTCCGGCCTGAGTCAAAGCCTTTTGATCCCTTCCGGCCAAAGCCAAAGCCTTATGATCCCTTCCGGCCTGAGTCAAAGCCTTTTGATCCCTTCCGGCCTGAGTCAAAGCCTTATGATCCCTTCCGGCCTGAGTCAAAGCCTTATGATCCCTTCCGGCCTGAGTCAAAGCCTTATGATCCCTATTGGCCAAAGCCAAAGCCTTATGATCCCTTCCGGCCTGAGTCAAAGCCTTATGATCCCTATTGGCCAAAGCCAAAGCCTTATGATCCCTATTGGCCAAAGCCAAAGCCTTTTGATCCCTATTGGCCTGAGTCAAAACCAAAGCCAAAGCCAAAGCCTCGTGATCCCCACCAGGAAACGCCTCAGGATCCCTACCAGCCAAAGCCCCAGGATCCAGAGCCGAGGCCTGGTGACGGTGATAGGGTGATTAATGTTGGTTTCCCTGCGGGTGGTTTGATATGCCACCCAGCATGCTTTCCTCCTTCCCATCAGTGCCCATCCGGCCAGGTATGATTGCTTTCTGTCAATTTTACTCAAATCAAGATGTGGTAGCTAACACTTTTGTAAAACAGCAACTACGTCAGGTATTTCCCTCTTCACAAGAACAAAGACTTCCAATTACCCTTAGATGCTCTGAGGGGAAAATATCTAGATATAGCAACTGACACAGTTATTACAGCGTGGTGGTTGCTCCACTTGCTGTGAACTTCCGAAGCCAAAGCCAGAGTCAAACCCTCATGATTCTGATCAGCCGAACCCAAGGCCTGGTGACCATGATGGGCCGATTATCGACCATGGGGCTCTCGACCCCAATCACCCTCATCACCACCCTCATGATTCTCATCAGCCGAACCCGAGACCTGGTGACCGTGATGGGCCTCTCGACCCCAATCAGCCTGCTCCCTGAGCGCTCTGAGCGCCCTCGGCGCCCTCGTGGTCCTTATATCCCTTATTAGGACAAGAAGAAGACTTCCGATGAGTAATCTTGTGACCCAACTCCCTATTAAGCGGATTCTGTGATATGAAACACCGAAGGGTCCTCGAAGCCGATACGTCCGTTCCCCCAAGATGAATTGATTTGGCTAGCATTGGCAGAACGACTGGTTTTCTCGTCTGGACTCTGCTGCTTGTGAATAGCTAGCCTGTCAGTGTGCTTAGAAGTTGATATGTTCAATAGAACCACTTACATTCCTTTTGACATTTGTGTGCTGTTTAAACCTAAGAGTACATGTTACAAGGGATCTAGATGAGTAATCCCCTTTCATAGGAAGGATAGAAAGGAATATCTGGGGCTACTTGGATCACATATTAATCATCAGCTAACTGTCCCTGAAGGGATCCCCTGGAGGGCAATAGCTACGGCAGCATCATTCCAACTTTGCTTTCTTCTTGCTGAAGTTGATAGCTGACACATTATCAACCGATCGAGAATTCTCCGCCTTGGCTCGGTCTTGGACTGAAAGGCCAAGGTTGCACACAATCTGATACCGGGTATCCGCTGCTCTGTCAGCGGTAAATTTGCCTATGCTCCGAGGGGCTTCGCTGGAGTGTGCCTCGGGAACACGAACATTCAGGGTTTGGAATATAGCCCAAAGGGAGATTCGCTGGAAGGGAGATAACTTCTCCCCACCGGCTAACTTTGTGAGGCGCCAGGTTTACTTCTCTCCCTCCTTTCCCTTTGCGCCGCATCGCAATCGATCAATTTCAGGTCCCTTTATCAACGATATTCGGCATCTATCCCAATGAAGCGGCCGGATATTTTCTTTCAGATTCCATTCAGTACCAGATGGTTCCAATTTGGAAGCAGCACCAGCAAACCCTGTCCTACAGTTCCTGGAGAGATGAGAAGTACTAATCAGCAAGTGTAAGAATATCTTTGTCCCCGTCAATTGAAACAATGGCACTTCATCCCACCATTGATGCAGATTTACAAGATCGAGTGCATACGAATGATCTCTTCAAGATAATGGGCGTTCAAGTTTGCTCAGTCCAGCAAGTTGGTCGCTTTTATATTCAAATAATTGGAGTGTTTGCGTCTAGAACTTACAAATCAAAACCAGAACAATCCAAGAGATCTGGGAACCTTTGATTCATATTTGTGCAGGTAGCTACTTCGAAATCCCTTCTTGACACCTCTTTACAAACAAGCAAAGAATGGGAAAGACACACACAAATTCAAATGAACCGTACATTCATATCCTTTCATATTTCCCAGTTGATCGTAACATGATCGCCCAGGACGTCACCCCATCTCTGACAGTGCACCATGATCTCATCGTGTTGCGCCTCGGTGAGGGTATCAGAACTGTCGACTTCAAGATGATTAAAGTTCGGCGTGTACTTCGCCCAGTCGTCTATCCACGTATTCAGTTCCTGCAGGACCCAGCTTAAGCAATCTCCGTTTACGCGATCGATAAAGAGAGCCTCCAGAGAGCGAGGTAGCAGGATATGAAGCTTCGAGTGACAATCCGTGCTGCGAAGAAACTCCACGCCTATTTCAAGGTATTTAAGAGATGTAAAGGCGGCGAATGAACCCACGAGGGCGTAATCACTTTGGTGACGTTGGTAGGACTTGATAGAGAGACGTTCAAGGGTATCCTTAACCTCAAGCAGGGAATTATAAAGCCGCTTCGGCTCGAAGCTGCCCTGCGTGCCCGGATAACAATGTGTGTATTCGAACGATTTTAGATACTTGCAGCTTGGAAGAAGCCCGTGTAAGCCATTTATGCAAACCTGGCCAGTGAGATTCAAGTGCGTGATGTTCGAACTCTCTTGCTGCTGCCAAGCTTCATCGTTATCAAAAATCGCAGTCGCGTATATGCTGCGTAACGCCGGAAAACGGAGAAACGGGATGAGCTTGTTCGAGGTGAAGTACCGGGACTGACCAATATCGAAAACCCTTGCTTCAACGAGACGTGCGAATCGTGGACCCGTCTCGTCGAACGGCTTCTTGCCCTCGGATGCGCGTTCCAGGATCTTGTGGCAGTACACTTCGTCTCCCACAGACGTAAGGGATAATCTTTTCAGCCCAGCTAATGATACCAGCAGTAGACCAATATACGCATCCGGCTTTCCCTTCTCCAGATCGCCCAGCCACTTAGTTTTCTCATCTGTTGAGTAGCTTGCATCGTCAACAGCACGTTCAAGAAGTCCGGGGTCGATTGGAAGAGGCATTGGCCTGTCTGAACCACCAGACTCTTCACATGGGCTAAAGGAAACGGGATCTGAAAGGGTAACATCGAGCTCTCGAACACACTGGGCTAGATTCGGATTCAGCAAAACCGCGCGTAGAACACCCGAAGCAAGGCGCGGAGACTCTTTGAGATGAATAGAGCGATAGGCCCAGGGGATCAATATATCGTATAATCGGCGAGAGCACGACGCTAGCCTCAGAACATTTCGAAGCGTCCTGATGTTGGCGGAAATATGAAGGAGCAATTCGACCGGCAGCGTGTTCAAAGTTGCCGGCATTTCTTCTCTTGAAGCTGGATCCCTTCTACTGATAGCTTCCACCTGCCTCACGCCTGATGGAGATGAGCGCTTCGCAATAGATTAGGGTATGTTATATTTTAAGCAAGGTTGACAAGCGTAAGTGGAAAGAGAATGTGCCAGGGGAGTTCGGTCTCGTAGGCACTGCAAGTTTGGAGCGACTGAAAGAAGGGAAGAGGTGATTAAAAAGAAGGAATCAGAATACAAGCTCGGCGCTGAGCTGCAGTAGTTGCCCATAGGCATCAGTAGCATGCCTGAAGCAGATATTCACGCTGCTGTTGTAACACCAGCTCCTAAGCCATGAATGGGGCGCACATAGAGGGAGTAGATCAGATATTACTTCACTTTTTGCAATTGCCATAAGTTCAGCTTGAAATTACTTCATAACTGCAGTTTTTTGGAGGTAAACTTCCGCATTCACTCTCCTATATCCTGTACGCGCGCTTGAAATTCGATAGCAGCAGGAGAGATACATTGATTGTAGATAGTACTATCCCACGATACCCTTCTGCTATCATTGTCATATGCCTCAAACACCAGATAGAAGGCGTGTTCTTGAACGTAAATAGCAAGGAGTAAAGAGATGAAGGTATTTCATATCAGGAAACCAGTACAGTACACCTGGTTCAGATATAAAACAGGAGCAAAGGTGCAGAAAAGAGAATGAATGCTGTGGATACACAGGGGCTTCCACATCCTCAAGAATCACACATATCTGCAGATGACTCGATTTGATATCCTAAGGTTGCAGTTTCAGCTTTCAGGCAAGCAGGAGGGTTACCTGCGCTGATAATGCAATTGAGGTTCGACAGTAGATGTAGCGGCTCGCAAGAACAAAGATTGGGAATGAAGTTGGATGATAGTAAACGGGCAAATGCAAATATTATCAAACCATTTATCAGCGACGGGTCAATTAAGTTAACCGATCACCTCTTTGACTTGCAGGTAGGATCACTATGAGCAATCCCATGCAGTGCTTTATGATGCAGCATGAGCCTCCCCCCTCAAGAGTACATGCATGCAATTGTACTCACGTTCGAGGCTCTATTTTTAGAACGGTTCGCTGGGTTGTCTGTACAGAGCGTGGAGTTGAATTCCGGCCGTTAGTTGGAGGAAAATGTGGATGGAAAGATTCCGGTGAACCCCACACATCCCATGGAAGCCGAACACATCACCCGCACTTGAGGAAATGCAACATCCATCCCTAAGCTGTCTTGGAACGTACCATGGTCTGCATGCTGGATTGTTCTTGTTTCGTGAGGAGGTCTAGGGGGTTGTAGGAGGCGAGAACAATCCTCCTTCAAGCAGGTTAAAATTCACTGGATCAACACATTTTCTCCCCTCCGCGGCCAACTAGTTATTTATTTAACCCGTTGAATAGTACGGAGTAGCGAGCTAATCGTCCGGCATCCCAGATCAACAATGCGATGGGCATGTTCCGATTTACTATCCTGAATTATCAAATCTGAGCTGCTAAAGCGGCTGCTGATATGGCGAGTTCGAAGAAATTCCTGACATAGGGCCAAGAAGGAGTATGTGACATGGCTGAAATCGACCTGCTCCAATGAGTCTAGTCCAGCGAGATCCGGGGAAGATGAGGGGAAAACCATGGGTCAGACGCGGTATATACCAAGTACACACATGCTCCCGCTCCGTCTCTCCGCTGCGGGGTTGAAACCTGGGGTCTAGGAGGGTTCAGTTGCTGCTAGCCCAGGATATAAAAGGAGTGGCTTGATTCTACGTCTGTACTTAGGCGTCTGAAATTTTGCCTCGTGCTACTAATCCAACTACTCGTCTCTAGTCACTAGCTTTTATTGCTAAACATATATAACTATACCACAGTCTGCCATCATGGGTCGAGAAGCAATCCGGACGGCGATGCACGTTGATCGCAACAAGCCTGCGGCAGAGCAACCGGGCGTTCACGTATGGTCTCCCAAGTCTAGCAGCTGTCCCCGGGGTTATCCAAACGAAGAAGTATAAGTTTCGAGGCCAGCTATCACTTACTAACCTTACTCTAGAATCGTTGGCATCCGGACAGTATGTCCTTCACATTGCCCCTCTCACAATTCAGACTATCAAAAAAAAGACAAAAATAAATAGAGGAAGAGAGAAAATTAACAAGAGCACACAGTCCCCGCCGCTGCAACCATCAAAAATGGTGAAACAGTGAAAATAGAATGCCTGGACTGGACCGGTGGACAGATCAAAAACAATGACTCTGCGGACGACGTGCGAGACATTGACCTGACTGGAGTTCACTATTTAACCGGCCCATTCCACATTGAGACTGCCGAACCCGGCGACGTTCTCCTGGTAGAGATCCAGGACATCCAACCATTCCAGAACCAGCCATGGGGCTTTACTGGTGTGTTTTCAAAGAACAACGGAGGCGGTTTTCTATCTGAATTCTACCCGCAGGCGTGAGTGGTATTCGCAAGCTCGTAATGGAGGATACATCTAATATACACCGTTTTCAGTGCCAAGGCAATATGGGATTTTGAGGGCATTTTCTGCTCCTCGAGGCATATCCCTGGCGTTCGTTTTGCAGGATTAATCCACCCGGGCATTCTTGGCTGTGCGCCTTCCGCCGAAATTCTAGCCGAATGGAACAGGCGAGAATCAGAACTCGTCCAAGAGTATGGCTCAGACACGGTTGCGAGGCTTCCTGAGCCTCGCAATGCCCATACAGGTTCAGCAGAGGGCGAGGTCCACGCACGGATCTGCAGAGAAGGCGCAAGAACTATCCCAGTATGACAGGCCACATTCAATCAAAAAATTATACCCTCAACATTCTAATGTCTCTGTCCTACAAACCAGGGCCGCCCTGAACATGGCGGAAACTGCGACATTAAAAATCTCAGTCGTGGTTCCAAGGTCTATCTCCCCGTGCACGTTCCCGGCGCCAAATTCTCCGTCGGTGATCTCCATTTCTCTCAAGGTGATGGTGAGATCTCCTTCTGCGGCGCCATCGAAATGGCAGGAGTAATCACGATTAAATTCAACGTGATCAAAAACGGCATGGAGCAGATAGGCATGAAATCACCGCTCTTCCACCAGGGGCCTGTGGAGCCTCAATTTGGACCCGGTCGGTATCTCACATTTGAGGGTTTCTCTGTTGATCATAACGGAAAGCAGCATTACCTAGACGCGACGGTGGCATATCGGGAGACCTGTCGTCGGGTCATTGAGTACCTAAGACGGTATGGGTATAACGATTACCAAGTGTACCTTCTCTTGAGCTGCGCGCCGGTTCAGGGGCATATTGCCGGCCTGGTTGATGTTCCGAACGCGTGTACAACGCTAGGCTTGCCGATGGATATTTTCGATTTCGATATCAGGCCGGAAGTGCCAGCCCAGAAAAGGAACATGGGCAGCTGTGCATTCGCAAGTGATCATAAAGCGTAAAGCACAGAGTGGCTAGCTGTATTTGCTTTATTTATTCTTATAATTCTTTTTTTTTTTTAAATGATTGATGTGGTTGATCCATGATTTATATCGAGTCACTCGAGTTAAGATTGTAATTTGAGATTTCTATGCTTTCCGTTGCTTACGCTCTCTGAAAGCGGTCCATTGGAGGATAACGCAGATTACCATGTAATTTCCGAGGCCAGATTTATAACACCTACTCCATTCTACTCCGTGAATAATTGAGCGAACCGAGAAGCTCGGATCGAGACCATCTGCTCTAGAGTGCTAATCCCGGGGAGAGACAAGAGTCACGGCAGAAGGTATCCATAAGAAAGATTTTAGCAATGGAGCCACATTCAAGAGAAGAACTTCTTGACTGCAGCTCTCTGTTTGCGATCCTGCTCTGCGATGTGTTTCTTAACCCGAGCGATTTCGTTAATGATGGCGGCATCATTAGGCGCGAGCTCCAACGCCTCTTGTAGATCCTTAATTGCCTCTTCCTCTTCTTTCAATCCGCAGCTAGCGATAGCACGTCGGTAGTGGGCTTTCGCCTTATCAGCATCCTTGGCGTCAGCATCCTTCGCGGTGTTGATAGCGTAGCCAGCCCAAGAACGACCGTCGGCGAAACGCTTGAGTTTGTTGGCAAGGAGCGCGGAATTAGAATTCAATGTGAATCTTAATGCTGCAATTTGTGATGGAAGTTCTTTTGCGTCAGAATCGGACGGCTCCGGAGCCTCGTTGAGATAGCGGATTCCCTTCTGATACTTCTCTAGACCAAGCTCGACATCACCGGCTTTGAAAGCCTTATTTCCGAACTCCTTGAGATCGACAGCAATCTTGTAATACTGAGCCAAGGATAACTCTTCTGTGATGTCTTCAGGGTAATCCTCATATGTATCACCAGTAGTGTCAACAGAACGCTGCGTGGCGTTCTTGTAGTCATCCCCAGTAAGTTCGCCGCAATCAGTAACTTTAACATCCATGAGAGGTTTGTCGTTTGGATTGGTCTTTTGTGACTCAATCTTGCGCACAATGCTTCGGCCATTGATCACCTCTCCAAATACAACATGCTTTCCGTCAAGGTGGGGAGTTGGGACGGTGGTCACGAAAAACTGGCTGCCATTGGTGCCGGGACCAGAGTTGGCCATCGACAACAGGAACGGGCGGTCATGTTTCAGGTCGAAATTCTCGTCATCAAACTTCTCGCCGTAGATCGACTCGCCCCCAGTTCCGTTGAATTCAGTGAAGTCACCACCTTGAATCATGAACTGCTTGATTACGCGGTGAAAGATGGATCCTAGCAAGGTCTCTAGTTAAATTTTTGTCTTTTAAAAATCATATCCGTATCAAGATACCATTATAGCTCAAAGGCTTCCCCTGCTTTCCCATTCCCTTTTCTCCGGTGCAAAGGGCACGGAAATTCTCAGCGGTCTTTGGGACAACTAGAAGGCGAGTCAGAACCTCTTGAGTACCGCATTTGTAGCATTACAGTCCTAATTCCGATCGTAACGACATACCATCATTAAACTACAGCCAGATTGATTAGTGTCTTTGAATCACCCTACGTGGGATATTCTCCGACTTACCAGTTCGAACACAACACGGCCTTCCTGCCTGTTTCCAATTGAAATGTCGAAGTAAACTCTTGGACGACCTATAACGCGACGATGTCAGCACCCAAGGCTCCTTTCGGCTCTGATAGCGATCTGGCGCCAGTACCTGTCGATTCAGCCATTATGTACTAGGTTTCCAGGTGATTATGCCAAAATTCGGGAGCAATGTGGGGAGATTATGCCTGTGAGAGCGGGTATGGAGAAGTGACGACGAGACTGGAGGAGCAAAGGGTGCGAAGCGAAGGGAGTTTGGAGCTATCTGAAGCTATAAAGAAAGGGCTAGAGGGATTCGGCCAGGGAAGAGAGTGACCACGAAGTGAATACCCGGCAACAGGCGGCGAGGAGGTTCAAGAACATTCCATTGCAAGTCGATTGTCCCGCATCCAACACTGCAAACACGGCAAACAACCCCACCCATCCGGCACGCCCTCGCCAAGCCCTAAGCCCTGCTTTCCCCCTTTGGGACTACCGGCGTTCGCTGCGCTTGGACCGTGAAGTAGTGAATTGAATTGAATTGAATCACTGGACCATTGGGTAAATCTATATGCTACGCGATTGGTATCTCTGGGTTTATCTATGTATATACACGGGTCGTCTATAGGGCTTGCTTATGAAATAGTCAACGACTCCGTATGCTTATTCCGCCTTCTTGGAATCGGTATTAAGTTCCAGTGTCACCTGCTTCCATGGTAAGAAAACGGCCTCATATGAATGATATGCTCCGGGTTTTGCTAAGGAATGCTTGTCTGTTTCAACGTACCGGTCCATCGTTTACAAGTCCAACTTCCATCATTGCCTGAAACACGCCGTTCTTGACTCGGTCAGGGTTGTATAACGCCCCAACCTTGGAGTAGAAGTACTCGTAGAGCTCCTTAGCCTTTACTGCGTCCGCAGCACCGTGAAAGTCGGGTTTATTGCCTTTCTTCACCTTTGCGAACAACGTAAATTGTGACACTGGAGGATTCGGTTAGCTGAATCCACAGCACCAGAAGAACTAGAGGGTCATCCAGGACGCACCACAAAGGACCTCTCCTTGTATGTCTTGGACATTTTTTTTCCACTAAGGGGAAGCGCTTGTTAGACTAGACCATGTCGGGCGTTAAAACAGTCTGGGAGCCGTACATTTGCCCCAGAGTCATCAGGCCACATCTTGAGCTTTAACACCTTGGCAGCAAGAGCCTCCGCATCTTTCTCAGTGTCGTGCGGCCCAACTGCTGCTAGAACTAGCACTCCCCGTCCAATGGAGGAGACAAGTTTCGTATCAACTGTAACCGAAGCGGAGGAGACCCGCTGCAAGATAGCTAGACAGCATATTAGCCATAATTCTAGGTTTACTAGCATCGGGAAGACTTCACCTTTCATATTGGCAGAAGAGATGAACGAGGACTAAGTCTTCAGGCTGTTATTATGCTTGACTGCACCATAAAGACACGCGTGTTGTGACAATCGACACACTCTTTCGGGCCCCCTGGTCGCATTGCTGTTATCGACTAAGCAAAAGGCACACGGTTTCGAGCATGTCAACTGAGGTATAATTACCTATCCTTCTTGCGACAAGCTACATCTGCCCTCCATCCATCCTTGTTCTCCCTTTTCACCTTTTGGAACAGTTTCACTTAGCGCTGGAGCTTCTTCGCATTTATAATTTTCCGAGAACATCCATTCCGGGTTTAGAAACACATCCTGATGGTCTTGGCATCTCTCGTTGCTTGGCTGCATCAGGATAGCAACACCACCTGGAGAGAGCCTGTTCTGGTCGCAATTTTCCATCACAAATCACCTAGCCTGAGCTGGAAACTGACAGAGAGGACATTGGCAGTGGCCCCTCTCACACCCCATCACATCAACCATCCTTCACTGGTTTGCCTTTCTCTCTACCAACCATCATCCTGTTTCCGTCTCAACAGTGCTGCTAACTCCATCTGGCGCTACTTGAGCCGTTCTGGTATGAAGAGCAGCCATGACATCTCGAAAAACGCAGCAAGAGATCGATCGGACCTTCAAGAAGGTCGCGGAAGGCATCCAATCCTTCGAGGGCATATATGAGAAGATCAAGACCACGACTAACCTTGCCCAGAGAGACAAGCTCGAGGACAACCTAAAACGAGAGATCAAGAAACTACAGCGATTTCGTGACCAGATCAAGACATGGGCTTCCGGAAACGAGGTGAAGGACAAAGGTCCGCTTCTAGAACAGCGGAGAGCTATTGAAACTGTGCGCGACCCTTCCTTGCGGCGAACTCGTCCCTATCCCTTACCACGACGCTAACTGGACACACAGTGCATGGAACAATTCAAAGCTGTCGAGAAGGAGATGAAGACGAAAGCCTATTCGAAAGAGGGATTATCAGCCGCCGCAAGATTAGACCCCAAGGAAAAGGAGAGAGTGGAAACCTGCGAGTTTCTCTCGTCGATGGTGGATATTCTTCAGCAGAAGATAGAGGCTATGGAGGCCGAGGAGGAGATGCTACAAGCTACAATGAAGAAGGGCAAAAAGGACGCGTCGAAGGCAACCAGATTAGCGGACATCTCGAGGATATCGGAACGGCATAAATGGCACGTCGCGAAACTGGAGCTGTTACTTCGATCATTACAAAACGGAAATGTGGAAACGGGTCAAGTTATCGATATCAAAGAAGCCATAAAATATTACGCTGAAGACGGTCACAATGCAGATTTTTGCGGCGAAGACGAGACAATATATGATGATATCGAACTTGGAGACGACGAAGCTCAATTCGGCATGGGTCTAGACAATGATCGTGTGTCCTCACAAGACACCCAATCGATACAAGAGGACGACCAGTCGGAGGTACGAAGAGGGAAAGCGGATACCGGTCCTCCAAGACGCTCGTCAACACAAACGAAATCGCCTCTATCGGCCCTCGCAACGCTTAACCTCAATGGACAGTCATCCACGCCGGCCCCCACCATGAAACCTGCGCCACCACCAACAAGGTTACCCGGAGAGACTTTGAAATATGCTTCTGCGGCGGCCGCTGCCGCTGCAAGCGATAAGAACGGAGTCGGCATAGCTCCTTTACCCCCGCCGCCTGGGGCAAGTCCTGCAATATCCAACGCACAACCGGTTTCGAAACCCCCGTCTTCTGCATCGCCTCAAGTAGCACCCGCGCAACCCGTACAAAGATTGATATCCAACGCTGCCAACTCTGATGACTTGAGCAACCAGTCTAAATCTCCGACTTTGAGCAGCGTTGCGGCGAGCCGGCCAGGCACTGTGCCACCTACACCCGCGATCACCAAGGCTGAAACGACAACACAGAAGCAGCAACAACCGCAACAACAACCACAGCCACAGCCACGGCCGTCGAAGGATCGCCCTATAGCCAACGGTGAAAAGAAGGAAGAATCGAATGCCGAAGAGTCTGTCTATCACCTGCCACCCGGCCTTCAAGACTTGATCCACTCCTTCGAGGCTACGAAGTCCAGAGCAACTGCACCTCAGTCCGGATCAACGCAACGATTACTAGTAGCGAGTCATAATACGTGCCCAGAACCGAGCGATGCCGAGAAGCCACGCCACTACAAGCCTCAAACACCTTACAACACCCCACTTTACTACCCGCAGGACGTGCTTCCCATCTTCGATGACCCACGGCTCTACGAAAATGGAAGAATAGAGACAGACACGCTGTTCTACCTATTCTATTATCGTCAGGCGACGTATCAACAATACCTAGCTGCCAAAGCGCTCAAGAACCAAAGCTGGCGGTTCCACAAGCAGTACCAGACATGGTTCCAGAGACATGAGGAACCAAAGACGATTACGGAGGAGTTTGAGCAAGGAACATATCGATTCTTCGATTATGAGAGCACATGGTTGGTTCAACACATGTTCTTTTGATCGTCCTGCGTATAGCTGACCATGAATAATAGGATGAACCGAAGAAAAGCGGATTTCAAATTCGTCTACAAGTTCCTTGAGGATGATCTCTAAACAGCGGGCTCCCAGCTTTCGTGGGCCCGGCTTAGCTCGCCTTTGGTCTCCCGGCAAAGGGTACGTTTTTGTGAATGACTTATTTCTCTCTGCGCCTTGTCTCGTCTTTTTGTTTTCCAAACCAACAGGGGAAACGGGAACGGTGGTCTTTCGAACTTTCTTGCTCGGTTAAACGCTTGATTCAGCAAATTTGGCGCAAGGGCGGGAAACGGAAACGTCCACTGTGGTTTATTTCTTTTTTTTTGAAAGGAGCCCTAGGGTGGATGGGCACTTTTTCCCCCATATCTCTACGCTGGTGCTCGGAATTCGGATTGCGTTGCGTTGTTTCTTCTATTTTTTGTCTTCCCCAGTCTAAGCTATCGGGGGTTTCTTGTTCTGCATGTGCCTCCACCCCATGGGTCCTGTTGTACCTTGTTGTGATGACGGATGCGAATGCTCCAAATTTTGTTTCTTGTTTTTCTCTAACACACTTTCCCTTTCCTAACTTGCTCTTGCATATGGTTTTATGAATGTACAGAGTCAAGACAAGGTATTTTGCATCGTGGCCTTTGTAGGTGATGCCATCTTTTTTCACATCAACATACATACATACATGCCTACATACATATCTTCCGCGACACAACCACCCAACTGGGTCCCCCCCCCCCAAAAAAAAAAAAAAAAGAGAAGAAAAAAAAGAAAACATAAATCAAAAGGGGGCTCTTGAGTGTGCCTGCTATCTAAGGTATGTACAGTACGCACGGGTTGGTCCCCCACGTTGGCCGACGATGGTCACTGGACCCGGATGGAAGATCAGCGATGCTACTTGCTCGCCGCGTTTGCAGATCTGGTTGGTTGTGTTCCTGGTGATGTTTCTGTTCCTGCGTCAAATCATGACTAGTGTGTATCCGGGGTAATTCTTCCAGGAATACGGAGTGACTACGGAGCAGGTAGAGAGAACTAGAAGACCCCCCCATCGTGTCGGGCAGTGAGGAAGGGGTAATATGTGGCATTCCAGAACTGTTTCATCGTCAAGCAACCCTGTTCATTGTAGGGCGGCAAAATTTCGGTGCGTGAATTAGGCTCTGATTAGACAAGTGCCTGGATCAGGCAGGATTGGGCTTAATGGATAGCTAAATGGTTGAGCCCCCAGCCAAATGAACACGTTAATTATGCACGTTCAAGACTAAAATGTATACAAGATCGGATGGTGGGATTCCTTTTGGGAGGTGATCTTATGTATGCATTTGTCGTTGTGTTGTTCAGAGCCAGTTGTTATCGAAATTAGACAGGTCCAGACGCGATCAATTCTCAGCATTAGCCTCCTGATCATTCCCCCCAAACTTTGCGAGTGCCTTTTCGATCCACTCATTATCATCCCGTGACTGCCAAAGTGATGCGTTTAGGGCCTGAAATCCACTATTATTCTTCAATCTCATGTCTGCCCCGTTTTCCAGCAGTATGGTCGCTAGATCCCTTCTGATCTCTGTCCCAGTCCCAGCAAAGTGGAGGGCAGTAAACCCGAGCGCATCCTGCTTATTGACGGCGGCCCCATGTTCAACCAGCAGTCTGACGGCATCCAAGTACATAGTGGCGGCCGCAGTATGCAGCGGAGAGGCCCCTCTATTATTCTGACTATTTACGTCTGCTCCTTTTTTGATTAGAAGCTTGATCAGCTCGAGATTCGCTTCAGAATGTGGAAGCCGCAGCATGAAGTGGAGTGGTGTATTTCCGTCATGCTGGGCCACGTCAACGTTCGCTCCGTGTTCGACTAACGCAAGCACGACTTCCAAATAGCCCTTGTCAGTTGCTATATGCAACGGAGTGGCCTGGTTGTGAGCTCGATGGTTGACATCGGCTCCATTGCGAACGAGCAGTTCGATAACGGGACCACTATGACGGACGGCAGCGGCGAGCAGCAAGGGAGACACGCCATCGTTGGAGGTACAGTTGACATCAGCTCCACGTTCAATGAGTGTGCGGACTGTCGCTTCATTTTTTCCAAGCGCCGCCTGATGCAAAGGAGTGAAACCTCTGCCATCTCGAGCATGGGTGTCAAGACCCCGATTGATGAGGAGGCTGATTAGTTCTGCTTTACACAACTTAGCAGCGTCATGCAACAGCGTCTGCTTGAGGGAGGATATGACATTGATATTTGCACCCTTGTCGATCAAACGGAAAACAAGCTCATCATTTCCGACCCTGGCCGCATGTTGAACTACGGTCGATGCATCGTTGCCGCATTTTGCGTCGACGCTCATTCCACTGTCAATTAAGAACAGAAGGTCAGCGCGCTTTTGCTGTTCACCCTTGTCAATTCCTCGACGCGTTGGTGAGGGGCCCAGCCACCGCGTAGCAAGGTAAGCAGCAAAGTGTCCAGCAGAGAAGGGGTCTCGATATTTGAGAGGGGGTTGTGCGTCAAGATCAGCACCGGCATCTAAGGATTTCTGCGCAGTTGCCCTTTCGCCGCGTTTAATGGCCCACCAAAGAGCGGAGGCACCGCTGCGCTTCACGTTGCGTGCGTATAGATATGGGGTGAAGAGGGTGTTGAGGTGACTGTTTGCGCTGGCAAGGCTACCGATGCAGGGCTCGTCTAGGTAATCGGCAATGGAGAGAAGGATTTCATTCGCCAGAGATGCCAACTCGACAGGTCCTGTTGGTGGCACAGGCTCCATGGTGGGGTTGGGTGAAAGGAGGCAAGGTGTATGTATTGACATCCGAGGACGTGTGGGCCTCACGGTGCCAGGATGAAGGAGAGAGCCAAGCGCTGGTGCGTCAACGGAGTTAAAAACAAAAAGAGAGTGAACAACCCACGGCGGCGTATGTGGCTTCGGCTGTTAACGCGCCGTGGTCGTGCCCTGGCACTTTGAGGCAGCAACCTTGTACCACCAATCACAGGGACCGGGACGGAAGAACATTGGACTGCCTGCCAGTCGAATCAGATAGTACCAGTTTGCAAGAAGCAATTATTTTACAATCGTGGTTATGTTTCCAAAGAAGACTGCGCAGTCATCACAAATAGATGGATGTATTTGTCCACTGCATACGTCGAGACTTGTAACTCTGTAGCTGCGCAAGGTCGTTTGAAACGGCCGGGAGGAGTCCTCCTGTGCCACGTATGCCCGGAATATCTAATCCGCTTTCCGTAGTCCGGGCTGACCCGAGCCTTAATATGATTTGAGCCCTTCAGTGGGAGAGAGAGAGTATGGGGAAGAGGGTGCCTGAGGTCGCTGGCAGTGTTGTCGCCGTTCGCCTCACTTTTTGTAGGCGCGAACCACGGCAGTACTCGCGATGCCGGAAGGCCTGTTTGCACTATTTTGGTATGTTTGCCATGTTTGACGGTACCGCTTATTAATAGAAGCAGCTATTCCCTATCAGGCTAGCTACCTTACATAATGCACCTAATTTAGGCTAGCGCCACGGACGACGGTGCCACTGGGGCTGGGCCACATCGCAGCCGCTGACGGGACGACGCGAGACAACGAGACAGCGAGACAGCACGGCGGGACAGCACGGCGGGACAGTCAACCTCGACGGCGTCAAAGCATCAGGCCTCGCAGGCCAGGGCTTGGGCCTGACAGCGCAGCATTGGTTTCTCTAAACATCTTGAAACAAGTCCCCTGGGGCAGTCACCAGCACAACAGCATGGCTGAAACCCCTTGCTCTACCCCCTTAACGAGCCCCTCTCGCAGATGCCGAGCTAACTACTCCGTACTGCCCTATCACTCCGCTTGGGTGTCGTTTTATTTTCCCCTTTTCTTTTTCTTTTTCCTTTTTTTTTTTTTTTTTTTTAAACAAAAATCTCCGACTGGCTACGGAGTATAATGCGAATGTTGAGTGAGCGCTTTGTGTTTATGGTTATTATTAACTATCATCGTGGTCTGACAACGTCGAGTCCACAACAGACCTAGCCACTCGTTTGCCCATCCGTGGCAGCCGCTGCAGGTTTCAAACCCGAATCTACCGCCAGCTTCATAGTAGTTCTCTGGACCCTTATCCATAACTTTCTACCAGATTTGTTGCTTGCTCCGGCAGTTCTCAAATCGGGTTGACCTGGAGGCCCTGCGATGAAATGAGGCGAAACTTACCACCTGCAAGGCTGTCTCTCCCTCCCTCCATCCCGTCGCCTAACGGTCCATTGCCAGCTCGCTCTCCTTCCCCCCTTCTCTTGACGGCCTGTTTTCATCCCAAAACGAAGCTTTGCCAACCGCGCGGCCCATCTGGCTTACCGTTCGCTTTCTCGCTGTGGATGTTGTTCCTCTTGTCTTCTGTTTCGGCCCGTTCCTCCTGCTCTATCTCTCCCTCTCTCTCTCTCTCTCTCTCTCTCTCTCTCTCTGTGCGATTGGGTGTGCCACCATCGCACAAAACCAGGGAGGGGCTGTGTACCCGGACCTAATCCCTCCACGTGCGAATTTTTGTGCAGAAACCCTCAATTCGCAGATTTGCTCTCTCGTGCTCCGGTTGTGTAATCATCCCAACCTTGTTCCACCTACCCTTGAAGGGCAGACTTCGTTTTCTCCTTGCTTCACTTTCTCTTTCTTCGTCGTCGTGTTCGTCCGTCTGTCTCTCTTCTCTTCCACCAGCTGGCAGCGTTCCAAGAGAATGAAAGTCACGTGCGAGGCTTCTCCGAGGCCTCGAGCCCGACTCTCTGCCCGTTCTCGCTGGCATCCTCGACCGTCTTGTCTCTGCCCAGACAAGACGTGGAGTAACAGACATATGTTACTCAGACATATATATCTCTGTCGGCTTCCCGACCGACTTCTTTGTCCTCCCATTTCTCTAGCTTCCCCAGCTCTGGCCCATACTATATATCCCATCCTATTCGGCTTATCTCTCTCTCTCTCTCTCTCTCTTTTTTTCTCTCTCTCTTTGTGGTCACCCTCTTCGAGGACCGCATTCAGCGATAATACATCGATCTTCGACGAAACACATGTCCTACTCCTATAGTCAACATCACACTCAATATCCTCAAAGCAACCCGCGATCACGGCCATCTGTCACTCAAGCGGTATCTGCCTCGTCTATGCAGTACCAAGATTACATCTCTCCCGCCATGTCCCAGTACCCTAGATCTTCCATGTCATCTTACGATCGGTCGCCGGCACCGGCCATGAGCTATTCCGTCTCATCGGATAGCAACTGCTCGAGACACACTACCTCGAGTACGTCATCGGCTTATTACCACGCGGATAGCAACGCTTCGTACTCTCATTCGCAAACAAGTTACCAACATCATTATGGCAGCTCGCCCCAAGATATTGAGCCTACCAGTCCCCAAGTCAAACGATCTACCTCCCGATCGTCAAGACAAGACTCCCAGCCAAGGTGGGTTGATCCCTTACTGATACAATCGCATTTACGGACTATTACTGATCCCATTGTAGATCGAGTCCGCGTTACATCTGCGTCCATCCGGGCTGTGAGAGCAGCTTCAGTCGCCCAGCCGATCTGAGTCGCCACCAGGTTTCGGTGCATTTTCGCGACGGGGTCATGTTGGACTGCCCCAAACCCCGATGTACTCGGAAAGGAGATCAGGGATTCTCAAGACAAGATCATCTTATCGAGCATTTACGCCAGTTCCATTGCATGAAGTTGGCGAAACGAACCTCGAAATCTCAGCGCCGCGAGTGATCGTTTTATCGCATGGCGAAACGGACTCGCCCATTCTGCCGAATTTCTTTGTTGCTGTTCTTGCAACAGCCGATGTCCTAATATGCTCAGCTGGCCCTGAGCATGATGCCTGGAGCATATCACTGAGCTTCTTTTTTTTTTTTTTTTTTTTTTTTTTTGCGATAACTTAGCTTCCTTTTAATGCCGTTTTTTCAGCATGTACCATCTTCTATTTTTTTTTCCAGAGTGAGCGTATCCGCATAGCGTTGCACTGCATGATACTTTATCTTATCTTTTCTTTTTCTTTTTCTTTTTCTTTTTCTTTTTTTTCCTCTTCACATTTCATTATTACTTCTCCGATAGACTAATTCTCGTGTCTTGCTATGATGTCTCTACATTGCCCACCGCGTCTTGGGGTTCAAGGGTGAAAGGTACAGGGTATGGGAATGGGTAGAATCTGGTATGTTTGGCGTTTTCGAAGGGTTTTTAGGGTGCTCGGTTCCATTCTTTCAGTTGCTTTGTTTGCTCAGCAATCTACTATTCGAACCTATGTCTTACTACTTATCCATCCATGCAGCTGATGGATGGATGAACTCGGTTCTTTTCCCCAGTTTTTCTCCCTTGACAATATCCTGTCATATTCTTCTCTTCTTCAGCAGAGTTTATCTCCGGACTTCATCTGTCCGTTGACCTGCGCTATGGCCTTTGACCTACGTTGCTTATTCTCAGCGCCAAGTTTCCGACCGTAATTGATGATGCTGGGTACCGAACCTCCCTGGAAACAGAGCAATAGGTGGGTGTCTTTGCTTTAACAGATGAGTCTTTGCTTTTAAAAAAGACGGTGTTTTTCGATCCGCTCGCTCGCCTGCGTTATGTGAGGCCTCTTGTCTTCGAACGTGACGTTCCTCATAACAGTTTCGAGGAAGCATGGCGCATCTTCAAAGGCACACAGTGCTTCCCGTATAATTATACGCTGATGAGAGCAGTGACTGCCCGAGTCACTGCGAGACAGTTTCTCTTATTTTGTATCATTATCTTGATGTATCTTGATGTCTAACGCCCCTTAGACGTTATGTCTCCTTCTTGTTTAGCTTCCAGCATGGATTGTATGTTATGTTCGAGGATATATGTACAGAAAATGGTGCTCTTTCTAGAAAGGCGTACATACTGCTTTATGCACCTTTGAAATGTTGAAACGACCGATTCCAGGACTTTACCTGGCTTTCAGAACTACATTTTTTTCGTCCCTCGATTCCGACCCAGCCCACGGAGTACATGGCTGCACAGGGCCGGCAACAACACAAATAAATCAAGAAAGCAATATGTTTTTAAACAATATTTGAAATAGTAATGCCCTTACGAGTTATGTACTGTACATATCTACATGCTATCCCTTGTCCCGTTGCTTACTCCGTACCTTCCTGCCAAGCAATTAACCGCGCCGATCCAGTGTTCCCATGCAGACATAGAGAAGACAGCAGAACCCAGATGAAAAAGCATAGGGCTGCTCAGCAAACAAGTCCTTTAACGCGCTAGAAATACACAACTCAGACATTCATCGTCATTCGCTCTCCTAGTTCTATTTTGAATTTCTATCCTTTTTTTCATTTTTTCATTTCTTTAATTTTTTTTTTTTTTTTTTTGGCTTTTCATTGTTGGCTGGATATCAGTCAAACCGCATGTATATTCTCCTTAACCCGGGCGATTATATTCTTAGGCTTGTCGACCAAAAGGCATATAATTGCGGCGTTGAATGAATGCAGCGCTGGCGGTGGCGGTGTTGGCAGTGGTCTGAACGGTTTGTCGGCCTTGGTCCTGCTCCTGGCGTTGACGATCGTCGTCTCGTCTATCATCGTCGTCTCGTCTGTCATCGTCGTCTCGTCTGTCATCGTCGTCTCGTCTGTCATCGTCGTCTCGTCTGTCATCGTCGTCTCGTCTATCGTCTCGTCGGTCATCGTCGCGATCTCGCTGGTAGTCCTCCATAGCGGTTTGCGAAGCGACTACACTACTAATCGTAGTTGTAACTTGATCATTCCGTGTCGTCTCAGTGACCAGGTTGCTGGATGTTACAGTCTGCTGCACGGTTGAGGTAACAACCTGCGTGGAGTTGCCGCTCGCAATCGTGCTCACAACCTCTTTCTGTCGATTCTTGCCTTTACGACCTCCCCGGTTGTTGCCGTTCCTGCGACCGGGTTTGCCGATAAGCTCTCTCCCACTCACGAGCCGCCTGCATTGCTGGTTGGTAAGACCAATATTATGAAGTCCGGAAAGGAGGACGTTTTGTCGGCCTGGAATATCGGCTTGTATGAAGCGAGAGTTGAATCGCGTCACTCCTTTGAGTAGGTTAAAGATCTCGACGTTCATGAATAGCGGCTGCGTGCCGACTAAAAACGTCACTCCCTCTGTGCACGGAGGGGTGGTCAAGCTTCCAACATATCGGAACATTGGCATAGAAGAAATAGTGCGAGAGAGGATGCCGAAATCGAAGCCGCGAAGACCAACTGTCTGACCGGGAGAGGAAATGCGTGGAACATGGGTGATGATACGCTCGAGGTCACTGAAGCCCCCGCGACTGGTGAGCTGGAAGAAAAGGGCAATGACGGCAATTTGGGATGGGTTAGCTGCACGCATCTTAATTAGCTGACCAACGCTCGGAGGATTTGAAAAAGGGTCCCAGGAACACAACATACCAACACTAGTATGGACCAGATGTAACTCCACCGGGAAATGCTGCCCAAGGATCCGGTGCTCGCTAGGTGTATGGAAATGGAACTGCTTCAATCTAAACTCGCCAGCCCCGCGAACCAACGTTGTGCCATTTAAGACGACCTCAGCCGTGGTTCCCAAGTTCTCGAATAGAATATCTTGTCTTGGGATACTCGAGCGAACGAATCCAACAGGCTCGATTGGAATTCTGCCGTTCAAGTTGATGGGAGACTGCTGCAACCCAACCGCACAGAGGATGTTCTCACGGGAAATGGAATGCCAGTTTGTTGGTCCACGGACGGGGCCATAGTCAAAGTTTGGAAGCTCTCCGATCCCGCCGGCGGCTCGAGGGTGGAGAAATGTACCATGCGCACAAGAGGACAGGACAGACCGAGCATGGAAGATGAGGAAAAGAAGAGAGAAGAGCAGGACCATGGTTGATCAGGGAGATAGAGAACGACGGGAGCGAACGAACGGAAATATCTCTTGTGGTAGGCAATAGAAATAGGAAAAAGAAGCCGGCAGAAAATAATAAGAAAGAGAGATAGAAAAGAGCGAACAGGATCAGCTTGATAATGTGTTGACTACCTGAACAACACCAACTGCCATGAGGAGCTCAGTCGCGCAAGGCATCGGGGGCGGAGCCAACAAGGCCATACTTATATAGAGCCCCCCCACACCCCATCGAGAATGTCACCCTGATGCGGGCAGGGTCGGCGTACAGAGTTCCAAGGCATCAAGGGAGGAAGGGCAATGTTCCATGTGTCAAATGTGCGTCAAGCCTGATTCAACCAGCATGAAATCCCGATGCCGAACCTACTTAAGGTTGGCCATTTAACCTCAACCCCAATTCCCATATAGATTTAGGTTTCCAGTGGCTGTTTATGCATAGCCGCATTTGGAGCACAGGACTCTTGGAAAGTTCCAAAGGGAGAAATTGGGCTCATTCTGGGACGCCTTTCACCGTTTAGGGTTCTCTGTGCCAGGAAGGGAACGGGGCCGTTTGTGGTCCGTTTTGAAAAAACGCCATGTTGCTTGATTGATGTTTGAGAGACTTGGCTTCTAATACACCGGGATTGACTCAGGTAAGACACTGACGCTTGAAGCTTAAGACTGTCTTAAGTGGCCGAGATGGAATTTATTGGGCGCTTCATCCAACCGGGATGACATGAGTTTAGAACAACAAAAAAAAAAAAAAAAAGGAAAAAAAGGAAGAACGGAAACCTGCCAACGACCTTTGGAACTCGACAGACGGAAATGGCATGGATGCGGAATGTCACTGCGATTCCCCGCCCATTCCGAGAAGTATGTAGTATTATCAACAAGCCGCTCGACCATTGCAGCCCGGGGGTCGCGGAGTTGTTCTCTTGAAGCATTCCATGTCGAGTGTCGGCGCGATGGAACGGCTTGGCAACACCCCGCCAGAAGACCTCTGCCCAAGAATCGTCGAGCGCGCAGCAAGCAGCACGGAAATTTTCGCTTTACCGATCCCTCTGCGCTCGGAGAGGGTCGAGGAGGCCGGAGAGAGCTGGTGCAGACATCTCGGCTCCTTATAAACGAGGCTTTCTGGGGCCAACTTTTTTTTTTCTTTTTCCTTTTTCTTCCCCCCTTAAACGCCAATTAACTTCATTGCAATGCCCTAAATATTTCAGCCACCACCCCCATGCCCTGTCTGGCATTTGACTTCCATCTCGCTAGTTACCCTGACCCGCCACCACAGACCCCATGTCCGCGAACTCTCGAAAGACCTCCCCATTCGCTTTGCCTTTGTGGTCAAACTCCACCCCTTCGGCCTTCAGTAGCTTCGTCTTCTCAACCGAGTACTCACCCCCGTTCCCCCATTTCCCTTTATAGCCGCCGATTGTGCGGTCCGTCGCAAGCACCCGATGGCAGGGCACTTCGGGGGCAAACGGGTTCGTCTTCATCGCGTTGCCGATAGCACGGGCCGACGAGGACAGATGTGCCGATAGAGTGGCATATGTGGTCCAACGGCCCGGAGGGACGGATAGGAGGGTGCGGTATACAAGTCGGCGGTATGGTGTGAGGGTGGGATGGCTCGCGATGCGGCGAAGAGAGTGGGCGAGGGCTTCGTGGTCAAACGCAGAAGGGTAGTTGGGGATCGACGAAATGGCCTTGGACTGTGACCTGGCTGTCTTACGGTCGGCGTCCTCGGACGAGAGCCGGCGTTGGAGTTTCGCAGCCCGCCTAGTGGATGTTCTTGCAGCTGTCATCGTCGTCGTTGCGGCACCCATTTTTTTTTTTATTTTTTTATTTTTTTATTTTTTTGCCCTTGCAGGCGAAGTAGAATCAAGCAATCTTGTCCTAATGCTTGGTATGAACGGTTGAGCCGTGCCGACAGAGGTGACCCCAGCAGGATCGACCCCCTTAATTATACCCCTAGGCGCCTATCGATGTGACGCACAACCCTTACCCTCAATATGGCAAATCACCGCCGATTACTATCAAATATAGCAGGTCACGGCCGTCTACGGAGCGCGGAGAGCGGAAATACCACCATCCAAAAGGTCTTCATCCTCGTATCTCTCGCGCGCTCTTCACGCCCTTTCGCCGGAGTTCGCGCGTCGAACGCGTTCCAGATGCGGCTGAAGTTGACAAATCAACGTGGAGCCCCACATCGCTCAATTATGACCAATCAGAAGCCCTACTCGTGGTTAAGCTCGCCGCTAGTTCCGGAAGGGAATAGCTCGCCCGTGCCCCTTCTTGCGACTTGCGTCTGTCGCGGTCTTGATTATTATTATTATTCATCAGAGTCTTATGCAGTCAGTGACTCTGAAGACTTGACCGTCTCTCCGTGTTTGAGCTGCCCAAGTTGGGAACGTTCGCATGCACTGACTATCCTCAGATGATATTGCACTAACCCCGTTACGTCAAGACAGGAGGATGGAGAGGGTAAGGACCCATGTTCCATTCTTCTTCTGCAAATTATGTACTCCGTACCAGTCGTTCTGGACAGGATTGGCAAAGCCCCGACCATGACGTCTCGCCCTGACCCAGCCACCACCATCGTCCCTTTAAAAAGTCAGTTATTTCCACCCCCTCCCCCAGCCAAGCGAAACGCCCAAGAATCATCCCCAACATCAATAGTGTCCCTCAATCTACTCCTTCTCCGGCAGCTCTTGAACCCCTAGCTTTCCCATCTCCTCGTCCAGCTTCCCGCCCTTTAATTGCGCGGCTGCCTGTGCGAAATCGGGGTTTTCGTTTTTAAGCTGCGTGAATGTTCGCTCGGCGTCCCAGGTCCAGGGGGTGTCGGCGGCGAAGAGAAGATCCATATCTTCCAACGTGCGCTGGTTGGATTCCGGGTACAGCGCCCAGACCATCGGGATGGTGATGACGTTGCTAATGGCGAAGATGTAGAGGGTCTTCTCGCCTATGGAATCAAACATGACGGGACAGAGGAGCGTCTGTGGTTCAAAGTCTGTCAGCGCCTTCTGTTATCTGGAGAGGGGGAGAGAGAGAGAGAGAGAGAGAGAGAGAGGAGGGAAGGGTATGCGAAAGTTCAGGCTATGTTGCCCCCTCGTACCAGCCAGCCGTTGCCCACACTCCATCCTACGACTCCCCACGCATTGCCTTTGCCGCGCACGGCTAGAGGGAATATCTCCGCAGGATACAGCCAAGGAACGGTTAGCCACGTTGCTCCGAAGACAAAAGTAAATATAAAGATCATGGCCGCCGCTGCCGCTCCGTAGCGTGATGCCTTTGACGCGTCGCCGGCCTCCGTGGCATTGATCGCAAGTCGGGCGAAACCCCCAGCAAGGAACATGGCAATGCCTTGCCCGGTAGAACCCCAGTATAGCGTCCATCGGCGACCAATGCGATCAAGAGTAAAGACGCAAATCAACGTAGAGATCTGTAGAGCCACCGAACCGGTTAGCACCCCATGACGAAGTATATGGACCTCGTTGATTTCACCATGTAAAAGATGTTGTTCAAGCCGCTAATCCACTGGCTCTTCATGGCATCAAATCCCGCGATTCGGAAGATCGTAGGCGCATCTATCGGATCGTTATGTCGAATTAGACATTAGGGCCGGAAGATGCATATGATAAAAACGTACAAATGGTAACACCGGCGATGCCGACCCATTCCTGCATAATCTGCAGCCACACAACCAGCTCAACTCGTCTTCCCAGATGCAGCTTTCCCGTCGTACGGCCCGTGAACATGGAGAAGTAGGAGGTGCTATAGGAGAGTGTCCTTTCAAGCTCTGCAACGTGTTTGATATCTTGGAATTCGGCTTCTGCTCGGGCAACGTCCTCTCCTTCGTCACCGCGAAGTCTGCCAAGGATGTACCGTGCCTCTTCCTCGTGGCCCATCTTGACGAGCCATCGGGGTGATTCTGGGAAGAACCAGACTGCGGCGAAAAGAATGAGAAGAGGAATAATCTGGAACGCAATGGGGAACCTCCATCGAAAAGCTGAGACTCCATCGTCGATGAAGGCGAGACCACTGCTCGCGGTTGTCAGCTCCTATTTTCAACCGGAGAATCCATAAAACAATGACAGAAAATGGGCGTTACTAACAACTCCAGCCAGTATGCGACAACCACGCCGAATATGTTAAGGGTGAACTCAATGGCTATGAATTGCCCTCTGGATGTATGTTCGGCAGTCTCCGTGGCCCAAACGGGCACGATGGCGTTCAGAATACCCGTTCCAAAGCCATTGACAAGGCGTGCTGTGAACATCAGCCTCCAGTCGATCTATCGTGGCTACCCCATAGTTATCTATCTACCCACCGAAGATCATCCAGACATGGTTTTGAGCCGAGCACTGCAATGCAGCTCCAATTACACCCCACACAGAGCCCAGGGCGATGGATTTGATTCTCCCAATTTTATCACCGACCCATCCACCGAATAAGGCGCCTATCAGGGTACCCAGATAGTACACGGAGACGATCCCGCCCTGCAACAAGCTATCAGTGATAACTGGTGTATGCGGCGAGCCGTTGATCGTCTCCGTATGGCCAAATTTCATAAGATCGATGTAGTCCTTCGCATTGTTGACACCGCCCATCATACCCTGGTCATAGCCGAAGAAGAAGATAGATAAGGCGGCGACGGTGTTGATGGCGATAAGAAGCTGGCGCTTCTTTAGCCGGTCGGCAACATTCCATGAAGATATCGGTGTCTTCGTGGTGAATAAACGTGATATCTCCGCCAGACAAAACAAATTTGATCCAATTCAGCACCAACCGATGGAGCCCGTGAAATGTGGAAAAAGCCCGGGGACAGCAAAGTTCGTGCGGAGGATCACATGCAATATATATATATATATATATATATATCCCTGGGCAGAGAAAAATGGAATGGACGATTCTCCAGACAATATTTTTATGTCTGGGGAATATCTGTGGGTACCCAATAGCCTAGCTAAGCATCCCGCTGGCGAAGCTGGAGAATCGTCCATAAACCATGCAATAGTTGCTGGAAACGACGGGATATGAGCGGAACAAAGACATCCACGGGGAAGTCGACTCCAGAAATCACGCAATGGCATTAGAAGTTCCGAGAATAAAGGCTAGTTTAGCTACATATTCGCCGTAGGCGGCTGTAGAGCGGACAATTTCTCTCCAGCATGTGCCACGATTGATAAACGGGACGGACGTGGTGGAACACTCGGTGGGACCGAAGCCGGAGGCGACGGTCGTGCTTTCGATGCATCTTTTGCCACCAGCCGATCGTCATAAACATTCTCAAAGGAGCCTGGCGAAGGCCGATAGGATCGACTCACATCGAGGAAAACCACAGGGGCGATCAAGGAGGTTTCGAGCGCGAAGGATTTGGCCAGGGACGCAGATTCGAGAACGCCATCCGCAGTCAGACAGAATGGACTCGAGAAGCGTGCCATCATTGGCCTAGGCTAAATGACAGTGGACCTCGTCCAAGGGATCAAGAATGCAGCGATGAGCCGTTTCGACACCCCCCCCCCCCCCCCCCCCAGAGTGAGTGATCGCGTGGCCCACAAAGAGAGAGCTTTTGACAGATGGGGATATCCCGCGGTCACCATTCCCACAACGGTAGTTCCGGGCGGTGGTAGAGCCAAGTGGGCAGCCGAGTTGCCGAAACGAAACGGGCCGCAACCCAACCCGGACTGGAAGCATTGGAGGAAACCGGCCATGCGGAGGGCAAAAACCTTTCAAAGACACGAAATATGCAAGCAGAGCCCGCGCCCCCATCCCCGGCGCAAGCTTAAGGAGGTGGGTTTCGAGTTGCGTCACGGTGGGCTTCGGGGATTTTGGGGGATCTCTACGGAGCACTCCGTGTCTCCGCACGAAACGCCTCCAAAATGAACTTTCTGTGCGGAGCCAATACAGCGTTGGGAAGTGTCAAAGATTGGGCTCTTGTTACCAGTAACCAACCAATATATATATATATATACAGAGTACGTGCGGAGTATATGTCCAGGGTAACAACAGTTGTATTCGCAGCTTTTTCGTATTCCCTGCTCAATAGCTCTGTGAACTCGTTTTTGTCTACTTTGTAACTATCGAGTAGCTTGACAGCCCAAAAGATTCAATGCCTTTATCCCCTCAGTTGGGATGTCAGATATCCTTGTAGGGACGGGTCCGTCCCGTCACTGGAAGAGCTTGTCTACAATTTCGCGATCATATCGCCAGTCAATTATGAAAAATGAATCAGGGTGCATTTTGATGAAAGATTGTCTGAAATTCTTGCCTGGAGTCCCCTCTCAGCCTTTTCCCTTCTTTTTGATCCTGGCGATTTCACATATTTAGTTTCCAAGCAACCAAGCATATGCGTTGGAAACACAGACAGTAACAATTAGGGACAGCCAAAGTGGTAGGCAACTGGTAACAAAAAAAGGAAGAAGAAAAAAAAAAAAAAAAGCTCCAAAACACAGGTTCCGGTGGTCATATCTGAAATAACTTCTCTAAAGTAAACCATGAAGTTGGTTTATCTTGTTTTGTCGAACACTGCCAAATAGTTACCATTGAATGACGACTTCACATGCAGCCGGGCGAATGCTCTGCAAGCAGTTTGGCTTGGCAATCGGCGTGAGAAGCGCGGCTAAAATAGTCAACTAAGTTAACGATATCTGCGTGCTAAACTAAGCGCGATTGGCCCCCGCCGCAACCCCCAACGGCTCTGCAGGCTGTCTTTTGCCTTTCTGTGCATCCCGGCCGGTTTGCAGCTGGCGTGCTCTGTTTCCCCCGTCATTCCTTGGTCATCGTCGATGGAGCTCACCCGTGCACGATGCCGGAGCCAATACGCAGACGGTCCTTCGCTGTTCCTCCGAGGCCGCCTCACCGGATGAGGCACTCCCTTGGCTCGTATGATAC